CCAGTTCCTTTTCACATTCGAATCTAAAGCTGCAATCATTATTACTACTACATCATTCTCATACTTCTCTCTCTCCAAACTCTCAAGAGCTTTATGCCAGAGGTATCTCATAAGCAGGATGCCAAGATCAGTGATGTCTTCAGTGCTAAATGAGGAATCTCTTTCCCATCTATGTGAGGATTGAGGTACAGTGTAAGAAGTATTTGATGGGGAATTAGTTATTAAATGATGATTCCTCAGTCTTTTTTGGTCTGGGATTTCTCATTAGTGAAATGAATGCTTGGATTGTGTTCATTGCTTTCCAGGCTTTTTGAATGTGATCACAATAAACACCCATAATATGAATATGTGTGTATGTATCTTGAAATTTTTTTTACTGAATGATTCTCACCCATACAACATAGATGCATTCTGATCATCTCTGTTCTATTCCTTAAAAAATAATAATTCTGGTTGTGGGCACAATGAACTAAATTGATTTTAACAACTAATAGTTTGAATAATACTTTACCAGGAGATCTCTGAGTCATCATTCATTCATTTACTTAATCAGTCATTTTATAACTGTTTAATGAATATTTATGAGGTGCCAGGTATTATGGTGGGAGTTAGGAAAATGGCAATGAACAAACAAAAAGTGTATCTATCCTGGGGCCAGCAAGTGGCATGGTGGTTAAGGTGCTGGATTCCCACCTGGCTAGCTGTGGTTCAAGTCCCAGACTCAGCAACTTAAAAATCACATAGGAACATATGCATGCATGCCCAAAAATCCTGAGAGGAGAGTGAAGGAGAAAGGATTGTGGTGTGGCTACCTCCCCTGGTGCGTGATTTCTCATGTTCCCTCTCTCTGTCTCTCTCAGGAGAGAACATGTGCCCTATGATGAAAACTTTAAAAACCAACCAAACAAAAACAAACCAACCAATATAAAGTCTATCTTCATGAAGCTTACATCCTATGAAGTATGTTTGATAATCTTTGAAAAAGGAAGGGAATTCCAATGAAATCAGCTAAAGCCACCAAATGGGTTTGACTTAAGGGAGGAAAAGACAGCAGAAAAATACAGGCTTTTCTAGAGCAAGACTAAAATAGCCTAAGTCTAAATTGTATGTTTTGGGGGTCAAATAAAGATTTCCTATGAGTTCTAAATCTGCTCCAGAATCTGTGGAAATCAACGGATGCTTTATCCTCCTTTTTCCATATTTTGTGAAGGTCGAAGTGGGTGAGTGGACCCTCTGGAGGGCTGAAATGAATGCTAGCAAGCACTCTGACTAAGGGATACTCTTCTGGTCATCTTGTCTCCATATTCATACAGTGTCCCTCACTCCATTCCTGCAGACCTTCAGGTATGTAATTGGGATTTGCTTTTGTTTTCCAGAAGTCCTGCTGTAACATTTTCATCCAGCAGAGGGAAATGGAACACCAAAATCACTGTAGAAATAATTCAGAATACAAACACACACAGGCATTTGGCATTTGTCTTTGAATTTAGGTACTAAAGAATGTCACAGGATTGAAAACAAATTCTGGGTGAAGCCAGCTTGGAGCAAAATGTTGAAAGAGGAGGCATTTATGTTAGGCAACTGCCTGTGGCCTGTCCCATCAGGATTCCCTGAGAGAATTCCTCCAGCATGAGGCCCTGTATCAGGCCTGGCTGCTGGCAGCCTGACCTTTCCATTTTTTCTGTTCCCTAAGCTTTGAAACACCTGCTAAAATCATGCACCTTCTCTGTGGTCTTTTGGGCCTTGGTTATATGCAATAGACTTCCAACTATGGCACTTTCTATTTTAGCTATCACTCTGGACAGGCTCCTGTCCTGTATATACCACAGCTGAAGTGAAAAACATGCCAAGTGTTCATATTTTGGAGAAATGAGATACATATTTTTTTCTTAGAAAGATTTTTGCTATAAGAGCACATGTACTCACCAGAGACAGAGAGAGAGACAAAGAGAAAGAAAGAGAGAAATCACCCCCAGGAGGGATGGCCACATCACAATCCCTTCCCCTCTCAGGATTTTTTGGCACACACGCACACATGACCGACATGAATTTCAAGCCACCAGGTCTGGGATTTGAACCACAGTTGACTACGTGTAAGTCCAGTGATGCAGCCTTTACGCCATCTGCTGATCCCTGAGATATTAACTCTTAATCATACCAAACCTTCTCAGGACTCGACCAGTTTTCTGAAACCCTGCATTTCCCTGCCCTCTCCGCCCTCCACTTCTTCACTGACCTGTCCCTGTGCTTTTTAGCACCTATGCACTATTGTCTGGCTTCCCCTCCTCAGAGGTAATGACACTTTCACAAGACCACATACCAAGAGATGTATTCTTCACTGTGCTTTTCTGGAGTTTGAAAGTATCAAATCACTTCATTAACCATTTAACTAGCATGCTCTTCTGGAAAAGAAAGGTATATAAGCAGAGGATACTCCTCAAATAGAAATAGATGCCACAATGGACAATAGGCTTAGGCATGACTCACCCTTTCCAGCCCCCACAAGTTCCCTCCTACCCCACCCAGGGGACACAGATCCAGGAAAAACCATGCAGTTAGTCAAGAGAGGCTCTTTGAAGTGTGTTCTAATGTCATGGGATTTACTTTTATTAAGAGAGTGGGGAGGGAGAGATCATATAACTTTGTAAGAGTTTAAGGTTATCATGAAGAGTCACTGAGAATTTTAGTTACCAGTGGCAGCATGAAAAAGTGGGAGAGGCACCTACTCTTTGAAGAATGAACTTGCCATTTTGACATATTCTCCCAGTGGCTGGCTTTCATCCTAGCTCTGCAGTTAAGATATCAATAGAATGCAATGAGTCTGACTCAGTGGCCTGATGGTTGAGGCAGGCAGATCCCATATGACTGACTATTTGGTTCGAGTCTCAAACCCTGCGGCTTATAAAACATGCCCGAAATCACAAATAGAGGGAGAAATGGAGAACAGTTTGCAACATGACCACGCCCCATAGGGGGTGCTTTCTCCTTTCCCTCTCTCTCTCTTTTTTCCTCTGTTGAGCACATATGTGATCTAGGAAAAAAATGATGCAGGGCAATGGGCAGATACTTTAAAAGTTTTCAGTAATGTCAACAATGCTAATCAACTCACTGAAGATTTTTCTTGTACTGTATTGAACTCCTGAAATACAATAGCACCAAGAGAAAATAATAAGAAAGAAGGTTACAAAACAAACAAACAAACAGAGGACAAGAATGAGATACAGAAGAAGTAAGGGGACAGGAAGGGTTAGTTAGAAAAGAAATTCTTCAGGCAGGGCGTGGTAGAAAGGCACCAATAACAGCTTCAGGTGCCACTTAGTGCATTCTTGTCATGGGCCCCCAAGCCTCACGCCAATTAGTGAACCCAACAGGGAGATTTGCTGTGACAAGTAGCAATAAAAGTAAAGCTGCTGTGTGTATTGGCAGTGAACTTCTGATGACAACAAGATATGCTTTGTGTCATGCTTACTACTCTGTCATATTCCTAAACGGGCACATCAGAAACAGCTGCTTACAACAATCAGATTCCTGGTCCCACTTCGGAACTAATAAATTCCAATTTCTGGAGTTTGTTTTTAAGTCCCTCAGAGCTGATGAGTCTCTCCCTTTCTTTTTTTGAAAATGTTCCCAAAATAAGATTATATTTGTTTTAAGGGCAAAAAAATCATTTAAATACATTTTTAAAGCACCAAAGGTTAATAAAAAAAAAAAAAAAAACTATGATGCTGACGCCTCGCTTATTTGCTTTTTTTGGCTCCCCTCTCGACTTCGTCTTTCTCTTTGAAGGAGCTGCCTTTCCTCTTTTGGTTCTGATCTTTCCATCGTAGCTGCAGGTATAAACCAGAGCACCCTCCAGCTCTTCAGCATACACGTACCGAGTACCCATTGTCTGGCACCGAGCCCCGGCAGCGTACAGTCAATACCTGGTCTGCAAGAATGGGGACGGTGTTGAGCTACAGGGATTGACAGAAGGACAAACTAAACTGAGTGGGTGGAGGAGCTGTGCCGCGGGGAATTAGGGGCCGGATAAGTACAGTAGTTCATTGATTATCCCAAGCAACAAAAATACAATCATGAATAACCCGCGGCCCGTGTCCCGGTTGGTTCTGGGGTAGTGACACTCATCCAGACCAACCACTTACACTTTTGTGTGCACTGGGTTAGGAGCCCTTTTCCAGGAGCTGGGAGAAGAGTGCCCGAGCTCCAAGCACTGGTAGCGCTCTTCGAGATCCGGGAGGACTAGGGGTAGAGGGAGGTAAGGAACAACCCTTCCTCTGCAACTCAGCTAAGGGCCTGCTCAGACCCCAGGCCTCCCTGCGAGAATCACTGCCCCTCTAAGCCCACCCCACCCCCTTCAGCCCCACCTCCCCAGCCCAACCAACACGACCGCGGTGTCCGTCAGGGCGCGGAGGGGGGG